CCCCACGTGCCGCTTACCGCCGTGCCGTGGGGGCTCCCGTAGTACTCCGCTACTCGGTACTTCTCTACGATTCTGCTGTCCCGCGTGCTGCTTACTGTGGTGCTGCTCCCATAGTACTCCGCTACTCAGTACTTCTCTATGGCTCTGCTGTCCCGTGTGCCACTTACCGCTCTGTGGCGAGGGTTCCCGTAGTACTCTGCTACTCGGTACTTCTCTACGACTCTGCCGCCCCACGTGCCTCTCACCGCGGTGCCGCGAGGGCTCCCGTAGTACTCCGCTACTCAGTACTTCTCTATGATGCTGCCGCCCCATGTGCTGCTTACCGGCGTGCTGCAGGGGCTCCCATAGTACTCTGTACTGAGTACTTCTCTACGGCCCTGCAGCCCCGCATGCTGCTTAACTGCGGTGCCGCGGGGGCTCCCGTAGTACTCTGTACTCAGTACTTCTCTACGGTCCTGCTGTCCCGTGTGCTGCTTACCGCCGTGCCGCGGGGGCTCCCGTAGTACTCCATACTCAGTACTTCTCTATGGCTCTGCAGCCCCGCGTGCCGCTTAACTGCGGTGACGCGGGGACTCCCGTAGTACTCCGCTACTCGATACTTCTCTACGGCTCTGCAGCCCCGCGTGCCGCTTATTGCTATACTACTGTATGCCACTGTTACTTCTAAACTATCGGGTGCTTCACTACGCTTTAGGTTTCTGCGCTACTGTACCGTGCTGTATATCCATACCACTGTACGGTTTTCTCCTGCTCTGCTAGTCTCTTCCTGTACTTCTCTACACTTCCATATCCTAGTACTCTGTGCTCCTGTAGCATTGTGGTGCTCTGTGCTTACACTATGACGTATGTGCGTCCTCAGTTAATCTTCAGTAAGTGGGAGAGCATGAGTCGTCTCCCAATTCTCCAGATAAAGTAACTGAGGCTCAGAGTGACCCGTTGCAGACCCTCTGTGCCATCCAGCTCTGCCCTCTGGCTATTTGCCATCTGAGAAGAGTACCAGGGCTTGCATTCAAGTTACCCTGAGCCTCAGAATGGAGCTCAGCCCCCCGAGGTTTGCTTCTAGTTTCTACAGATTCAAAGTGAGCGGAAAAGGGAATGCGAGCTTCAAAAACATTTTAGCTGTTTGATTTTACCATGGGCTGAGTAAGACCTTTGCTTATTTTGCTGAGGTCAGTGGAAATATGTGTAAATCGTTGAGGGCTAGAAACACGTGTGACTTCATCTTAGAGTTAAGAGATTGTAGAGTCAGGGCGCCTGGGTGGCTCAGTCGGCTGAGGGTCTGACTCTTGATCTCAGTTCACGTCTTGATCTTGGGGTTGTGAGTTCATGCCCCGCATTGGGCTCAATGCTGGGCATGGAACCTACTTTAGACAAAGAGAGCATAGAGTCATCAGGTTGAACCCTCGTTTACAGAAGTGGGAAGTCCGCTCAGGGAGGTTGGTGACATGCCTCGTGGCACCTTGGCTGAGTTGAAAGGCCTCCTCTTGGCCCCCGCAGGACAGACAATGCTGTGAAGAATCACTGGAACTCCACCATCAAAAGGAAGGTGGACACGGGTGGCTTCCTTAGTGAGTCAAAAGACTGCAAGCCCCCTGTGTACTTGCTGCTGGAGCTCGAGGACAAGGATGCTGGCCAGAGCGCCCGCCCTGTGGAGGAGCAGGTGAGGCGGCTGCCCGAGGCTGCTTGGCCCCAGGGCCTGGCTCTGGGTTTGGTGGGTTGCGTATTTATGCCAGACCATCTCATTTAACACGTGTTCTTTCCTTCTCATCTTCGCCACAGCTGTTCATGACTTCCTGCCACAGGGTCTCCTGTGGGCTGCATCTCCCTCACCAGGGCCCTTCCTTGTCCCGTAATTCTGCAAAGACCTGACACTTGTCTGCCCGCAGGTGAAGGACGACAGAACAAGCTGACGTAGAAAATGGAGGATTGGGTTGAAGAGGTCCTACGCCTCCTCTGCCCTTAGCAATAGCTTCCTTCCTACCTGTCGCCCTTGCCAGGCTTTTCATACTAAAAGCATGTTTGCAATTAAAAAAAAAAGTTATTTATTTATTTATTGAGGTCTAATTCACTTACAGTAAAATCCGTGGCATTTAGTGTACGGTTCTGAGTCATTACAAAAAACATACTGTCCTGTAACCACCAAACCACATCGAGATATAGACATTTCCATCACCCCCCACGTTCCCTTGTCTTCCTTTTTGTCAGCCCTTTTCCCTCATCCCAGGCACCCCTCATCTGTTTTCAGTCCATAATTTCATACAATTTTCTAGAAAATCATATAAATGAAATCATATGGTATTACATTTGCAATTGGAAAAATGAAACCAGTATGCAGGTGTTAACATCTCCCATCCCACACCGCAGAGCAAACTTTTTATTGAGTTTTTTTTAAACTATTTCTCTAATGATTTATTCTTTAAAAATAAAGATTTGGGGTACCTGGCTGGTTCAGTTGGAAGAGCATGTGACTCTTGATCTCAGGGTTGTGAGTTCGAGCCTCACATTGGGTGTAGGGATTACAAAAATAAAAAAAAACTTAAAAAAAAAAAAGAATTGGGTGTGCCTGGGTGGCTCAGTGGGTTAAACGTCTGCCTTCGGCTCAGGTCATGATCCCGGAGTCCTGGGATCGAGCCCTGCATCAGGCTCCCTGCTCAGTGCGGAGTGTGCTTCTCCCTCTCCCTCTGCCCCTCCCCCTGTTCATGCTCTCACTCGCTCACTCTCTCTCTCTCTCTCTCTCTCTCTCTCAAAACGAATACACCAAAAAAAAAATCTCAAAAAAAGATTTGAAGGAAATGCGTTAAAGAATGAAAATTTGACGATGCTGAATCATGGGAGGTAACACACTTCACCTGTGCTTTGTTCTAGTCTTTTCTGTGATTGTGAACTAGTGAATAATCTTTTTTCACTCTCCCCCTTCCCTTTTCTTACTGGGTAGGTAGAACCTGTGTACCGCTCCAGTTCTGAGGGTGCTGTACTGCAGCATTGCATGTTTTTGCTTCTGTTTCTTTTTTTTTTTTTTTTTAAAGATTTTATTTATTTATTTATTTGAGAGAGAGAGAGAGAAACAGCATGAGAGGGGATAGGGTCAGAGGGAGAAGCAGGCTCCCCGCCGAGCCGGGAGCCCGATGCGGGACTCGATCCCAGGACTCCAGGAGCATGACCTGAGTCAAAGGCAGTCGCTTAACCAACTGAGCCACCCAGGCGCCCCTGCTTCTGTTTCTTGATTTTTCTTTTTTTTTCTTTATTTTTATTTTTATTTTTTTTTAATTTATTTGACAGAGACAGAGACAGCGAGAGCAGGAACACAAGCAGCGGGAGCGGGAGAGGGGGAGCAGGCTTTCCCTCGAGGAGGGAGCCCGATGTGGGACTCGATCCCAGGACCCTGGGATCATGACCTGAGCCGAAGGCAGACGC